CATGCCAATTTTGTTCAAGTGTCCCTTTACTGGGGCGTGCCCAGTCATGAACCCTGTTATCACTTTCAACTGGTTCATATTCATTAAGAGTAGTTCTCCAGTTCTTTTGGGACATGGTCTGCCTATGAAGGCTTTTCCATGTGCCTGTTTTGGGGTGCTTCCCCAATAGTTGATATGTTGTTCCCGAATCCAGTCATCTACTTACTTTAGGAATATATTTATAAAAGTGAAAAAAAAAACAATATAATTTAGGTAAACAAAACGAACAAAACGCACTCAAAAAATCTACTGTCACTTTAATTGTCAGTGGAACCATAATTACATCATCACTGAACTAGCGCATTTATTAATTTTAAAATCTTTTAATTATTATTTATTCCTTTCCAGTTGTTAAAAAATCTTTCTAACATTTTACGCCAGTGGAAAATTGATCGACTTTAAAATTTCCAAGAATTTACTGCGCACACTATTTACATACCGAATTATCGTAGGAGCCCAGCGTGAGCTATAATAACTCACTATTAAAACTTACGCTATTTGTTTATTGATACTATTAATTGCTCAAAAGCAGTTGAATAATTAATGTATAAATTAATAGGAGTAGATAAAAGTTTTTATGACGGTTGGACCTTCTAACGATTGCCATAATCTACAAATTGATTTAAATAATTTGAGGAGCATTGGAGCAAAACCGAATAAATCTACTTTTTATGAAAATTAAGTTAGCGACAGATTTCAACTTACTTTGTTAAATTACATCTTTATAGACTACCTGTCCGAGCAAAACCGAATAAATATTTGTAAAATTAATTGTCGAAATTGATGTGTTTGTGCAAAACCGAATAAATCCACTAGTAAAGTGGTGTAAACAACACATCAGCATTCGCTGTAGTTTAAAAGCAGTTTGTAAGAGATATTTCTTTATTTTCATTTGTTTTTCCTCTTTTATTAGTGCGGGTAGTTTTGAATTTTGATTTGGGTAAAACTGAATAAATAATTTTTTTTGTCATATTTTTAACAAAAATTATTTTTCAAAATTATAATTGCAGAGGGTGTATTATTTATGATGTCTTCAATATTATTGTTTTCACAAAACAAACGAAAAACCAGTACTTTTTGTCTATTTGGAAAATCGTGTTTTCCCAAAAATCGTTTATAGTGGATTTATTCGGTTTTGCCCCAAAGCTCCTCATTTATTCTAGTGGTAAAAAAAAGGAAAAGGTAAAAGGATGTGCATTTAAATCTCTTAGTTGGCAGCGGTCCGTTATAGGGTTTCCTACCCTTTTCAGCTGCACTGGGGGGATCAGATATATGGTCTGAAGGGATTGGGTTAAAGAAATGGTGGTAGGCATCTGGGAGGGTAAAACTCACCCAGCATTTGATTATTGCTATGAGAAAACCTCTAAAAAACTCATAGAAACAAATGGGATGCAGTTAAATGCCAGTCTATAAATTTTAATAGAAAACTAAACTCTATTCATTTTGTTACTAAGGTAAAGGACCTTGGTATAATTCTTGATTCTTCCCTATCATTTCAAAATCATATGTTTACGTTAGCAATCACGTCACTGCAAATATCTGGCTTCCTTAGGAGAGTAACAGCTGATTTTAGAAATATTCATTGTCTGAAGACTCTGGTATTCTACCTGTTGATAAATATACTTATAACTATTCAGAACTATATCACGCCCTTAATCTCGAATTTCTCAAAAATAGATGGGACCGTACGGATTTCATGAATTATTCTCTTTAATATATTCAACGTTGTCTTATGTACTAAGTGTCAATAATTTTGTAGAACTAATTCTGCTGCCCATTCTTTCAGTTCCACGGCCTTAAGGTTAGCTTTTTTTCATCCATCCTAAAATTTTCTCTCCAGCTTAGCAATTATTAATAATTAATAATTTTTAATGTTGTACTTAGTTTGATTTTTCATGTATCGTTTACTGATGTACAAAAACAGAAAAATTTATATTTATTTGAAATATATATCTCCTCATAGAGCCTCTCCTGTATCAAAACTGAAATTTCGGTAATCCGAGTGATATTTGAAGCAATTCCATATGGACTTTAGTAAATTTAGGTCACGTTTGGTTTAAATAGACGAGACGGTGCTACGCAATGCATCTCGAGATAAATTTAGTATTTATCCCATAAGGAATTTAGTGCCTCTTGCTTATTGAAATGTACTGAATAGGAAAATGTACGGCTAATCTTTTGTGGTTATGTTAAAGCCTTCAGAGAATGGGATAGATTTTAAGAATACAGGGAGAAAAGCAATGAGCTGTGAACAGTTTAGTTTAGAATAATTTTAGGATTCAATAACATTATAAAATGATACTACGTAAATCTGTATTAGATTTAAACTGGTTTAACCATATATTTTGTTCTGATACAATCTTAAATGTGCTTATTTATTAAGCCAACCCCTCGATATCCTTTGGTTTGTTCTGATTAGTAAATACAAATTAAACTGCTGGTCCACTTCAATCTTCTCACACGGTGCTGTTTACCAGCATCTGAAGATCTTATGCGTTGTCATGTGAGTGAACCGTGGCTCCATACTTACCAGTAAACATTTTGCTATTTTCTTATACTATTTATACCTATTCCAAGGTCTCGATGAAGATCTTCATTGCACATATCAAGAAGCATTAACTATGCCACGCAATACTTTATTCTTGAATATTTTCTGAAGTAGTAGTAATATAAGATCTTTTGTATTTGATTGTACTTTTGCATAAAAGAATCTATTCGGTCCAATTATTTAGATTGCTAAATTGGTGGTTCTTACCGTATCGAGACTGATGCCCCCACTGGCATTTCATAAAAGAAACAAGAAATTAAGATAATAAATATTACTTAGGATAAACTATGTTGCTTTTTGATTGGAGTTTACAAATTATGTAACAATATTTTGCCTCTTTACCCCTTAATTCTGCTCATGTAAGAATATTATTGGGGTTTTTACGCCTTGGATAACGTAAGGTTCATAGAAAAAAGAAAAAGTTTTAATGCTCATTATGGGATGCCTATATAATATCACAAGATGGCTATGGACACAAAAATTTGGTTGGGCGAATGCATAAGGTTAAAATCGTTCGAATTTTTCAAGACCAAGATATACCGGTGAGTACCATATACCTATGGTCCGGTATATGGTATGCGAACAGGGAATTCCATGCCAAAATCTACCGAAAAGTAGAAGACCACGTCATTTCAATCCTCAGCAGTGCCGTAGAATAGTGAGAAAACAAAAAAAGAGGGGCGGCGTGTCTCAACGAAAAATAGTCAAAGCGAATACAACTTCTCACACTACAATTTGCAGAATTTTAAAAAGAAGTGGTTAAGTATATCGTAAAAGACAAAAAGTATACCTCTAATCAGCTGGCCAGAATATCACGATGCTGCCGAAATCTTCGACGCGTACACTTTGCAAACAACAAGTCGATCATTATTTATGATGAGAAGTATTTTACTTTGGAGAACTCCGAAATAAAAGTAAACGATGGATTTTACACAGATAACATAGAAGAATGTCCAGACAATGTAAGGTTTAAGGCAAAAGCAAAATTTGCCGACAAAATTTTGGTGTGGTTTGCTATATCTTTAAAGGGTTTTGCAAGGCCATATATTGGTCATGTTAGGGACGAGGCACTAGATAGCAGGAGCTATATTGACAACTGTTTAACAAAATTGGCCAACTTTATTGAAGAGAATCATGTCGCTGACGAAATAATGTTTTGGCCCGACTTGGCATCATGTGATTATGCGAGACAAATGCAAAACTGACTTAGACAACAGAATATTCCATACGATCCGAAAATTGATAACCCTCCCAACTTACCCCAGGCTCGATCTTTCGAAGATTTTTGGGCACTATTGTCACGAAAAGTGTACGAAAATGGATGGTCTGCTTAAAACGAAGACCAACTACGATGTAGAATTATGTAGGTTCGAGTGTTTGACGCTGAGGATACCCAAATACTTATTAGGAACGTTCGTAGGAACTTAAGGCTTGTGGAGCAGCATGGACCGCTACATATTATTAAATAATTGATTTGTTTTTAGACAGATTCCTAGTTGTAAGGAAAAAATAGTTTTTGAATAAAGTTATTTCAGTTTGAAAATATTTGTCATTAGAAATTTTCGCAAAACTTATGAACCATACGTTATGTTGAAAAATGTTTGGTCTTTTAACCCTTATGCCTTCCCATGTAATATCTGACCTATTTATACCTAAATTTTGTCGATATAAACAATTTGGACCCTTTACCCTTATTTAAGTAAAAATAGAACACTTTTGACACTATACTATGTAAAAATATTTTGCCTTCAAGCTCGCTTGTGTAAAAATATTTGCAATCTTAATCTCTTAGTATGCCATGTTAAAGTCATATTTCGTCCCTTTACCTTTTTAATTCTAAAATAAAATTTTGATAAAAGTTCTATTCTGGAGTTCCTTAAAGATTGTGAAAAAATAATCTTTATTTCATCATCTTGTATGTTATTAGTGTAAAATCCACATTTGTTGGAGTGCATTAATAAGCTCTATAAGGAATGCATGCATTTTAAAAACATGAACATTTAAAGCACTACAGGTAAATCGAAATATTAAAACATTTAATAGGGTTCGTATTTAGAAAAAAATATCTAAGAATATCAAAATCAGAAGTTATCGGGACGACATTCATACAAACACATTTTTCTTTTTTTACTTTTTCATTTAGAATGAACAGAAACGTGGAGGAAAGTGTTAAAAAGTGGGCCCTCATGGGTAGATGACCTCGGTAATTAATCTGAACTATGCAAAACTAATTGTTTGCCGATCTATGAACTTTTTCTATAATTTTAAAGTCCTGCTACAAAAAACTGACAATGTATGATAGAAAAATTAATGTTTTCAACTATGTAAAAAATTCATCAAACTCTGTATAAAATTTAAAAATGTATTAAAAACAGTAAGTTTTTTTATCAATTGTTTTAAAATTTGTTTTTAGGAATTCCATATGCGTTTCATGAAGCTGGTTTTGGTTTCGGAATAGTACTGCTTATTTTTGTGGCTTTCGTAACAGATTATTCCTTAATTTTGATGGTACGTAGCGGACACATAAGTGGAAAATTCTCTTATCAGGGTATCATGGAAGCTGCCTTCGGAAGACCTGGTTACTATTTACTTGGAATATTGCAGTTTACTTATCCATTTATAGGTACATATTTTTTCTATAGTTATATGAAATTGTAACATATTCAATAGTTTCCACATAGATAATTTCATAAAAAATTAAAAAAATAAAATAAAATGATTCCAAAATCATTAAGTAACAGAATTATTACTTCAAATTGGCATTCATCACTTTTATTTTTGAAAAATGTGTTATTTGTGGGATTCAAAATATTTTTCAAATTATTGATATGAAACCATTACTAATATCTTTCTTCTAATAACGGAGATAGGGTTGTTACTTTGAGACGACATACTATAAGAGAAATAGATTAAGATATTGTTTCTTCTCTTATTAATATAATTTTTTTTGTAGCAATGGTTTCTTACAATATCGTGGTAGGAGACACAGTGACGAAAGTAATTGTAAGACTGACTGGAATTGGACCAGATTCTCTATTTGCCAAAAGGGAGATTATAGTCCTCATAGCAACTATGTTATTAACCATACCCCTTTGTCTGTACAGGGATGTCGCCAAGTTGGCGAAAGTGTCGCTTTTCAGCCTTGTTTGTATTGCCTTCATTTTAGTATCTATATTTATAAGAATCGGTTCACTCAGTGATATTGTGTAAGTATTCAGAAAAACAATCTACTATGCGAATAGTTGAAAAATAAACTTTGCTTGAAGTGATAAAAAAATAGTCCGTTCTATTTTACTTTTTGAAAGTAGAGGAGACCAGGGACAAAAGTAACACTAGTCGATTGAAACATGATTTTGCTAAAAACTAGCTTAGCTGAAACCCTTGCATGATGGTATTATATCCATCAACATCCTGAATATTTGGTTTTAGTAGTTATTTTATAACTGATTGTGTTGGAGTGTAGATGGATTTTCCTATTTTCTTAGTTTATTTGAAAAACAAAGGAATAATAAAATTCTTCTTTGCAAGTCAGAATGGGGCACAGGTGTGTGAAAAGTGTTCTCCGAGAAAGGAAATATATTTGTTCAATACTTTTAGATGGTTGCGAATTATTCTGTAAGTGTAGTCCAAATTGGCATATCAGCTAGCAATTAAATATAAAGTACAAATGCCAGATTTTGAGAACAAGTGAGATTGCTCAGCTCGATTGGTTTTTTTGGCTTTACGTACCTACATTATCAGGCTTTAATTTAATTAAAAAACGGTCAATGATTTTTTTAACAATTTTCCGTTATCATATTCCGATTTTTTTTTGTTTTTATTGTTTTTGTTGTTTTTTTTTTGTTTATGTTATTTTTGTTGTTTTTGTTGTTTTTTTTGTTTTGTTTTTTTTGTTTTGTTTTTTTTTTAAATAAGTGATTTGCAAACGTGGGCAAACGAATTACTATTATTCTATGGAATTAAATTATTCAAATGTTTGGGCTGCGAAAATTCTTTTCCTAATATTTTGAAAATAGAGGTTGGGCAATAATGGGCAAACGATGGGCAATAATCTCACAAAGTTTTGAACTTTTTTTGCAGTGTTTTCGCGCCAAGTTCACAGACCTCGAGTATTTATATGACGTTTTAGGACAACTTAGATTTTTGTACAGGCGATGATGGAAGTTACGAGTATACATGAGCAAAAAGACGTCGTCTTTAGGATGTCGGCCGATTGATTGACACCAGATTTACTGACAGCATGGGCGGATCCAGGGGGGCCATAGGGGCAGTGCCCCCTCCTAAATGAAAATTCTTACGATTTATGAGCCTTTTATTAAAAAAAAAAATACTTAAAAGGGAATATCTAAATACAATGCCCCCCCCCCCCCCCGAGAATTCGTCTTGGAGCCGCCCTTGACCGACAGGCCAATTGAACGACACCTAAGTAACTGACGGGCCAATTTACCGACAAGACAATTTAACGATAGGCCAATTTACCGACAGGACAATTTAACGACAGACCAATTGGCTAACACCTAATTTACCGACAGACTAATTTATAGACAGGCCTATTCACCGACAGGCAAAAACATTTCGGCAGATTAAAATAAACTAATTACCCAAAATCATTTATTTTACAAAAACCATTTACCAGAAAACAATGTAGTGACGAAGAATTGATTCATGTTTAGAAGATCATGCAGTAGGCGACACCAGGTGGGAGAATTGAAGAGAGAAAAATAAAAACCAACTTAAATAATTTAACTAACATGTGCGATAATTTAACCTTTCGGTCAATTGTCCTGTTAGTAAATTGTCCTGCAAGTCAATTGTCCTGTGGGGCAATTGTTTTGTCGGTCAATTGTCCCGTCGGTCAAATGCCCGGCCGATCAATTGTCTGGTCGGTCAATTGTCCCGCCGGTCAATTTTATGTCGGTCAATTGTCCTGTCCGTCAATTTTTATGTCGGTCAATTGTTATGTCGATCAATTGTTCTGTCGGTCAATTGATCTGTCGGTCAGTTGGGTGTCGGCCATAGAAGCCTTAGGGTGGATAGTTTTCATTGAAATTCCCTGTTTTAAGGTAAAAGTATGATTTATTCTATAATAAATGTGTTCCAGCTTTTTTGTATCCTCGTCAATACTTAAAATTGTTATAATTGTCCCCAGTCTCACCTAAGTTCACTTTTACGGTAATATTTGTAGTGTTATTTTTTTACATGTTTATTAATTTTCTAGGCCTCCCCATAACGATTCATGGCGTTTTGTTAACAAAGATATAATTCCAGCAATAGGCATCATGGCTTTTGGTGAGCGCTTCCATTAAAATATTATTTATTTATGTATTATTTAAAAGTAATCAATTTTTAATGTTTCTCTAGAAATCAGTTACAACTAATTTATTGCGTTTTTAGCCTTTATGTGCCACCACAACACTTTTTTAATATACAGTTCAATAGCAGATGCAAATCAGAAAAAATGGGAAGCAGTAACGCACGCTTCCCTTTTTGTGAGCTTGGTAGTAGCCATTATGTTTGGTATAGCTGGATACTCCACCTTTAAGGCATATTCTCAAGGTAAAATATACCAACAACAAAAATATCTGAATAATAATTTTAATGGGATCGTATTGCTCTAGAATTTTTTTGTTTGGATAATTTAAAAATAAAATGGTTTCAATGTAACTTTTCTAAATTAATCGAAGTTTTTAAATTCCAAATCTGTTTTAGTTTTACTAGTAGCTTTCAGTTATCTATTTACATTAATGAATTAATATTCCTAATTCTTAAATAAAGTCATTTCTGCTCGTCAAACAAACTGAGACTCAGATAAGCATTTTTTAATAATTTTAGCTTTAAATATATTAAGCTCTGAAAAAGTTGTATTATATTATGTAAAAATGATGATATTTATATCTTATTTAGTTTATAATTTTCATATTAACAGTTATTGCAATAAAGTCGTGATTTTCATTTTTAGGAGACCTTCTAGAAAACTACTGTTGGGACGACGATCTTATGAACATCAGCAGACTACTATTTAGTGTCCAAATTCTTCTCACATACCCAATTGAGTGTTTTGTGACGAGAGAAGTTATAGAAAACACTATATTAGGAAAAGATCCGAATATACCCACATCAGATAGAATTCACTATCTTCTAACATTGGGTATTGTCGCTACGACTTATTGTATTTCAATCACTACGTATTGTTTGGGCGCCGTTCTGGAATTAAACGTAAGTGGATTTGTTTTAAACATGAAGGTATTTCTATTTTTACACAGGATGATTTTGACGACCAACTGTGAATATAAGTATCTAAATGTCACTTTACTAAATTATTAGCTATTAGACCGTTAAAAATTACCGTAGACTTAATATTGTGTAAGATAGATTTGCTTTCACACCATAGCTCTCAGAAAGTCTAGATACCGCTATTGGTATGCTTACAATGCAATAAAATTACCCCCTTTATGCTGGCAGCCATGATAACTGGATTATGTGTTGGCTATGCTGATTTATAGTTTTTGTGTTGTGCAATAGGTGAAAACTGACTAATATGTACTTTGTTAATATACATAGTCATAATACTCTTTTATTCGTAGTTTTAGCCGATACTCGCCGAACACAAATCTTCTAATAAATGAGAGCGTCGGGCAATCGTAAAGGATATGCTCGATGGTCTCATCTTCTTGTTCGCACCCTCTGCAGAGTACAGATTCTGACAGCCCCATGGTATGAAGATGCTTTCGTATTTGGCAATGACCAGTCAGAATGCCTGTGACTAGGCGCAGATTCTGTCTAGTCATAGTCAACTATTTGTTTGCTGCAGTGTTGTCAGGATACATTAAGAGCTCCCTGGCAACTCTGTAGTTTCTTGTTTCATCCCATCTTTCCTTGAATTTCACAAGGGATTGTTCTTTGATTAGGTCTGTCGCTACCGATTTTGTCAGGCCAATAGAAGGGCCAGGTCCAAAAAATATTTGGTTGGCTGCTTTCTTGGCTGGTGAATCAGCAAGACGGTTACCTTTCGATGTGGCGAGACTTTTGATTAATCTTAAGGTGACCACATTGTTGATGGATACTTCGGCCAAAGCTTCGTGACATTCTAGTACTAACCCTAAGTAAATTCGTGGTCTGTTCAGGGTGAGTAGTGCTTATCTGCTATCTGTATAGATGAGCATGTTTCTTTCAGTGATATTGTTTTTGGTTATTTCTTTTGCTGCTATGAGAATTCCCGTTAGCTCTATTTGAACTACACTGGCACTATTGCTTACATCCCATTTTATGTTTAGCTTTAAGAATCTGCAGTATATTCCACATCCTGAGCCTTGTTTTGTTTTGGAACCGTCGGCGTAGATATGAACTTTATATGGTTTATGGAAGATATATCTCGGTGAGATGGAGCCCATGTTAGCTTGAAGCAGTGGGAGCGTATCGAGCGCCTCCTGCCAAAAGCGACGTCTCGCCTCACCAGATCCTACATCAGGTTCTATTCCAACCGTGTGGAGGCTTGTCATTGTCGTCAGAGCAACCTCCCTGATGTAAATATCAAGGGGAGTGAGACTAAGAATGACTTCCATGGCCCTGGTCGGTGTTGTTTTCATGGCTCCTGTTCTTTGAATTTGTTCTAGTTTACGGAAAGCTGTTAATTTTTGGGTTTTCGGTACCTAGACAACTGCACCGTATGTTAGCATAGGTCTTATGATAGCCGTGTAAGTCCATGCGACGACTCTGGGGGAGAACCCCCAGGTGCGCCTCATGGTTCGGCGGCATTGTTCATAAGCAATGTATGCTCTTTTAACTCTATTTTCTAAATGCGAGTTCCAAACTTTAACCAATTAAAGACTAATATAACCACACACAAGTGAACAAGGCTTGCTTAATTCAGGCGATCTTCCTCTTTTATTGATTTAACTTAATGGCATTAGTACTTCTTTTTTTTTATCATATTTACAGGGTGTTTTGGCAGCAGTTCCCTTGGCTTACGTCCTCCCAGCCTTGTGCTACTTACGATTGGAAGAAGGTTTCATTTTCTGCAGCAAAAAGTTACCAGCATTAGCAGTATGCATCTTTGGACTGTTCGTCGCCATTTTGGGAGCGTTATTTTTGATAATCGATTTCGATCAAATCGATACGTGCATGGAAAGTAAGGTCATGGAGTATTGTAATAGAACTGTTGTAAACACAACAATGTTAAATACAACAATGGTAAATTAATGTGTTCATTGAAAATGAAAAATTAAAGTAAAAATATTGGGTTGATGAAGAAGAAAGGTTTAATTCAATTTTAATGTTAAAAAATATTTTTTTCTATAACCATTTAAAAATCAACAACTTTCGTCACGTTTTACTCCAACCGAAAACGGCAGTTCCGACACCAGTGGTAGAATATCCCATAACGTTAACTTTCGTCTCTAGTGACGAAAGTAAGTGGTTGCAATTTTAGATATTATAAAATTATTTTTGCAGTCTTAGAATTCACTTTTAGGATTTTATAAAGGAGAAGTACAATTATAATACAAAGGTAGATGCCAAAACAAGCAAGGTAAAACCCCTAAATCGCAGATTTCGTCGAGATCACTTTAAAGATAATTCAACTCATTCAAACTTCTTATACATCCTATATAGCAAGCCATGGTTATAGAAAAAGTATAGTGTTTTACTCGTCGAAAAGCATTTTTTGCAACATGAGAACATTATTAAACTCGGCTGCGCCTCGTTTGATAAACTGCTCTCTCGTTTTACAGAAAATGCTATTTTCGTCACTCGTTAAACAATATACTAGTCTCTATTTTGTTTCGATTTTGAAAATGTACATTTATTCATGAAGATGTTCTATATTATTTATTAGTTTTATAATAATTTCTCATTATCTACAGCGTTGAACTGGTGGTTATTGCAAAGGGTACCACCAAATCTCGTCTTTACTAATATTCTGGGTTGTTAGAAGAACTGCTATTTTAACTTTAATATGAAGCAAGTAAATTAAGAGAGAATCTGGAAAATATCTTCATCATACTGGTTCCATTGTGGGGCATAGGGCTTACCGACTCTACTCCCTACCATGCAAAAACCATGGCAACAAGAAGTGAGGTGAATACGGCGCGCTTTGCACTTTATGTACTTAAATGGATTAAGTTTCCTTTTTTTTTATTTTTTGATTCTGCAATATTCGATATACAAAATGATAAAAAATTCATTAAGACTTGTTACTGGCTTACATTATTTATTTTTATGGTAACTTTAGAAACACTATAGTGTCCCACCAATATCTAATAATTTGTAAAAAACTAGAAGTTTATTTAAAGCAGAAATTGAAGAAGAATGGCTGATTGTCTGCTATATACTCATAAACGTTTTGGCGTTCGAGAATGTTGGGAGAAACTGCTTTATAATTTTAACTGTCTTAAATACAACATTATTTCCTTTAAATAACCCCTTTAACATCTTGCTATTTGCGTGATTAATTCGGGTGTAACCGTCAAAATCAAGGCATGCATTTGGTTTAAGCTTAGCTTTTACAGGAATCTTTATTAAATTTCCATCGGGTTGCAAATAATTATCATCCCGTATAATATCACTTTTAGGAAAGCGTTTACAACAAACTACTTTTGTTTTTGAAGGAATAAAGTTACCTTTAGAAATTTATTTAATCATTTTTGTCTTAAATTATCATTCTTAGAAAATTGAAAATAGGATATTAGTTTTTCTACCTTGTTATTGTTTTAAAACACAATTATAATTTGACTTACAGCCAGGAATACAGCAGGTACTTATTTAGCATATTTATTAAAGTTAACATATACCTTGTAACGGGTCAACGACGGGCCACTAGACACTTTTTAACACTTATTTTAATTAAATGTTTAAAAATCGGATTAGAAGCACTACGGGAAGATATCCAATGGCGCCATTACGTGAGATCTACAGATCTAATAACAAAAACCACTTTATTTCGGTAATATTATACAGTTTATCAAAAAGAAAAATTCACAAACTTTCGGATATATGTTTATAAACAATTTTAATAACTAATTAAAAAACTGTTTTAATTTTACTTAATTTGAACGTTTTTCATGAAAAAATCGCCTTGAAACCAACACGTTACGATTAAAAAAAATATACTAAACGGTAGTACAATGCACGAAAAAAATTATAGAAGTATGATACTTAGCCGATGAAATTTCATCTAGTTCGCACATGGCGTATTGTGGTTTAGAATATGGTCTGATTGACCATGAGCAGATTTAAATTTATTTTCGTGCACTGTTTTCGATCAACTGATACCTTAAATTCGTAAAATCCACGCCTCCACACCACAATATGTCACCGTGACGTAGTATTAGTCTGCATAATACCATGCCTTCTTTTTATGGTACCATGAGTACAATGTACCGAAAATGGACTTTACGCCGTGTTGCCAAATTCATCTCTACTAGGCTAGAGTCGGCAACGTCTTAGCTCTATGGGTTTTAAATACCTATTTAGATATTCATGTCCTGTAATACTAACCGGATGATATGTTTGTTTAGTTTTATTAGCATAAGGGTTGGTTATATTTACAAAATGTATCCTAATAGAGAGCTTGGACTAATATAATCCAGTCATATTCCCAGTGATCGTTCTCTCATTTCTCATACATGCATTTAACTTATCAAATAGCTTTGGAAAAGTCCAATCAGTAACTAAGGTATCTTCTTCTGGCTAGTTTATCAGTTTCTTCTTTTCCCGTAATGTTGCCTTATCTAGGTTAACGTTAAACCATTTCTCTAAGATTGCTGCTGAGGTAATCCTGAAATATGCCAACACGAGTGCAGTTGTCTACCTGTTGGACTTAAATACTATACTTGTTCTACAACCTGCTTATACCATATCAGGTGACAATGAGAGAGACCTGGGCCACGCTAATATCTCTTTCGTTTATATAGCGATTTGGATCAAATTTGGGACAAACCTACTATACATAATTTAGTATTGAAAATTATAGATAAATAAGATGGCCAACTTCCGGTTTTACCGAAATTGTCATTAAAATACATTTTTTAAATTGATCACCCTCTTAATTTTTGTGTTGCCACAATTTTATTTCTCACAACCAATTTTTTTTTACTTAGAATGCCATGAACTGGAAAATAATGCTCTAATAGCCTTAAGTAACACGAAATAAAAGCTATTTTGTCAATTGAGCCAAAACAAATGCTTCAGATAAAAAATAAATTTCTAACAGCTGTTTTATAGCAAAATTTCAGTTTTTTTTTTATTACAAATCTGACAATTTGCGTCATACACTACTTAGAATATTATTTTCCAGTTCACGACCTTCTATCTCAAAAAATCTCATTTAAAAAATTGTTTGTAAAAAATAGTATTAGGCAACATGTCTTTTTTCTTTAAGCATAAGTATCAATTTAAAATTATGTCTAGTTTGATTCAATTTGCTTGATGAATAAAAGAACTATTAACGTTGCCATAGTCTCATTGTCCCCGGTATACAAAAATGAAAGCGCTTATATCATACAGTGTCTGCCACAAAGTTGGTTCCATATGGGATTATTTTTTAATATTAGGATTGGAAAAAAGGGTCGTAGATCAATCACCTCTTCTTATTTAAAAAAAAACATAGAATAATCTATATTAAATTATCATTAGTTATTTGTCAACTTTGCATTTTTTTTTGAAAAATCCTTAAAAATTGCCTTTTTTCGGAATATAAAAAGTTATTAGAGAAACTTTTTGAACGAGATAATTTCAATTTTAACAAATTTTTAGTTATTAACAATATTTAAAAAAAAAAAAATTCTATAAAGATCTAACTTTATGTAATAAAATAAAAAAAATATTGAAAATTAAAAATGAAATTTTTTTAATTAATTCCAAATTGAAATATTGCATGCCATTTGTGATTTATTTTTTAATTCATTGTTATATTTGAGCAATTATTCTACATTATATTTACTTTCGCCATTAGAGCTGAAACATAATGTTTCTCTCACTAGTGACGAAAAACATGTTTTCACTGGGAGTATCCTGCTGCCGAAATGTCTTAGGAGGTTGTGTAAAATTTATAATTTTGCACTTTTTAGCAAAATTAGGTATCAAAATAAAACGTTTAACATATTATGTTGTATTAAACTCTTCTTCTATAGGTGATTGTACGGTTTATATGCTAGTCTGAAAAACAAAAATATTTTTTTATAATCTTTAATTTCAATTTTAAATACTGCTATATAATGCTATATAGTCAAAAACCAGCTGCGGACAATTTTTTTATAGAGTAGACTAATAATAATTTATCTACTTGTTAAGTTTTTTTTTTTAATTATTTAATTCGCATACGAATATAATTATATAAGGTTGCCTAACGAATCAAAATACAAAATGAAAAATACAGTGAGAAAACTAATTAAAACAATCTTTTAAAACAATAAATAAAAGAAGTAGCTGACCATTTATTACCTACATTTCTTAAATCTTAAATATTTAAGTAATATAGTTTGTACGACTAGTGGAAAAGGTTTTAACTTGATCATAGGGTATTTAGCACTGAACCCAAATAAACTCAAGAATATACAAGGAATGTCCGAAAATTAACCGGACCACTACTAAATTTTTTTCATTGGGATCAATTTTAAAGTAACAATGTCGAAATAATCTGTACATCTGTCTTTAAATTGCTCCATATGATAATGTTTCTACTGTCAAAAGTATTGCTAGTACTAACGGAAGGGCATTTCAGGAGTTTTCCTGATATTTTCCTCACACCCTCAAGCAATGTTATGAAGATTTACTGCCAAGTTTCATGCATGTGCTATCCATGTTCACACATTACGGCAGTGCTTAATGTTGTCAGTTCTACTGTTTTGTGTTATTGTCATGTTTCTCTTGTTCTACTGTGTTGAATTTTAAATTTAATGTTCTTATGAATATCATTTAAAAATTACTAAATTTACACAACTATTATTATTATTTTTGCAAATAATTTGCTCGTCATAATAACAAAGACAGCGCATTTATATTATCAGAATATGATTCAGGTTGATTAGAATATTTATAATTATTATATTTTTTACAGATCATTTATTGATTTGTGTTTTTTTTTTATTTTCTCAAGAATATTTGTGTGTATTTATATTTATTTATTAGAATTCTTTTGTTTTTTCGTTTTTTTTTTCACCGATCTACTGTTTTACAAAATTTTCACCTGGCAACACTAGAGTGCCCTAGTTACATTTCAGTGTTAAAACTACCAATGTGAGTGTAGAGACAGCATTCTGACTGTAGAGTTTTAATAAAATATTAACACATATGAGTAATTGGGAAACGAATGTTTATCCTAGATCAGGTAAAATATTTTCTGCTAATGACGAATGCGTACTCAACCTGTAGATGTTTCAGTGTTATTTCAATATTATATGATCTCAAAAATTATATTTGGAATAATTTATATTTTAATTCATTCTACATAATAAATTTTTGAGATTTGTTATTTGGTATAATAGTTCCAAAGGAAGCTCAGCTTTAAAGTAAAAAAGTATTAAACAATAATATGCCAAATAATAGGTATATATTTTTCAAAAATATACTGTAATTAATTATTATGAATATAGGTCCTCTAGCAATATATTAATAGATATTTATGTAGTTTTATAATAATAATGTACTTTAGGTACCCTCTAATAACAATTTTTAGGACAGATCGGGTTCATTTTTACAAAGATCTAAATTTGGAACAAATCTTTTAAGAAGAATTGTTTTTGTGAAAAACTATTTAGAAGAGGGTAACATTTAATTGCACATTTATGTTATAAAAATATTCCATTCCTAAATAGAGCGACCCAACGAACTAGTAGTAAAAATGTGTTTTTCGTTGGTGCACTTTATTATACAATGTGTGACATAAAGTTGGATCCATAAGAGATTTTTTTATAAAATACGATTGGGAAAAAACGTCGTAGGGTATTTACCTATGCTTATTTAAAAACTTAAAATAGCTCACATCAAAGTTGGCTGCTAATATTAGTTATCTGTTAAATTCTCAATATTCTTGAAAAATCGTTCAAAAATGGCCTTTTTAAATGCGAATTTGACAGATAACTAATATCAGGGGCCACTTTGATATGGACTATTTTAAGTTTTTAAATAAGTAGAGGGTGATTGCTCCACAATATTTTTCCAACAGTAATATTAAAAAAAATCTATATGGATCCAACTTTATGGCACACACTGTTTAAGGACAGCCTCAAGCAAATTAAAAATTTTATAGATAATCGACTCACATTCATAGAAACCAGCATTTTATATGGTGTTTAGTTATATTTTAAACCATTTTGTACTTTCATATTATTAAGAATTATATAAGATTTCTTACAATTTCTTCG